GGAAACGTGTTGACTTTCTATTGAACGTGTTGCCGGCGCAAGACCGAGCTTGGCCGATGTCTTTTGTTGTTCTTCCTTTGCTACCCCTTCGTCTTGCACCCCGTTTCCAGCGGAGGCATGCCAAGCGGCACAGGCCGCGATGGCAGGAGCAGTGTCCAGTTGCTCTGCAGAGAGTCGAACGATCTCCCTGAAGCTGATGGCGATGGATCCAGCGACTCCGGAGAGAGCTCGAGAGGTACGCGCTCTATGGTACAGTAGCAGTCTGCCACAGTATCAGTGTTACCTTCTTTTCTCCGTCCGGATGTCCCGGAGATGCTGACGTCTGCTGCCAATGGGAGGCACCGCATCGTCAAGTGCATCTGGCTCGCACATCTCAGGCGCGCTCGCAGCTTTCGAAGCCTAGAGGAGCCCATGAGACGCTAAGCTTGTGCCTCTTCGTGAAAGAATGTGACGAGACATTTTCAGTGCCAGTGCATCCGAAGTTTCCAGCCAGCACAACATGCAGAAGCAGAAAGACCTGTCCCAACCACTCGCGGATGCGGTTTGAGATGCTAGAGAACGGTCACCAGTGCTGCACCCTGGAACTATTTATAACCATTTACGGCAGGCCTGATTTAGATGTGCTGATCCAACCTTCGGTCGCCAGTTAGCTGGTAGAGAGACGTAGACGTAGCAGAGTAGCAAATGAGACGAGGTCGTCGTTGTTGCTGCTGGTGCAGCACCAGCGGTGCTTGTCCCAATCATCATTTCTTGATCTTTCACAACCCCGCAGCCAGCCCTGATCCCTTTGCGCTCCACTTGCAGATGCCTTTGATGAGCTCAGTCCGGCGAACCAAGACAAGGCAAAGGCAGCAGGTTGCAGTTTTCAGATACAAAGTTGACCCCGGCAGTTCTACATGAATTATGCATTCTGGTGCCGTCTGAGGGAGGAGAGGACACAAATCTGCTCAGCTTTGGGCAGGTCAAAGAGTTTGAAGAGGCGTTTCGAGTCTCTCGGCCTTCGGGTGTCGATCAACGTTCGGTGATGTTGGTTGTTGCCTCACGCAGCGGGTCAGCGGACGCCTGTGTCGGTAGAGTGGTATGAGGGGCTGCAAGCTTTGGCTACAAGAGCGAGTAGTAGGCTGAGGGGTTGTGGCAGCTCAGGAGGTTTACCATCAGCGTCTGCTTCACGCGGCGACGAGTGAAGAGAAGAGCCACCAGGACAACGGGCTGTGCCCGGGCTCACCACGGCCCTTTGCCCCTTCAACGGGTCAACACAACACCTGCACCTCCGAATCTCGCCCTCCCTAGCGGCCTCCGGTGTCACAGCTAGCATCGCAGGCGAATCTCTTGGACTCAGCCTTCAAGGCCACTTGGCACAGTCTTTGAGGGTTTTGTCTGATGCGTCATGACGCCGCAGCTCCCAGGAGATGCGGCAGAGCTTGATCGACAGCCTCACTACGAGCCCAAGATTCGACCAGAATGAGGAGGACTGGGATAAGATATCACTCTTTCGGAACTCGAAGGTGCTAGAAAAAGCCTTGCTGCAGCTTCTGCAGGAGGGGTTCATCACTGTGGACGACCTGACCGAAAGGCCGAATGGAATTTCATTGGTCACCAGAATCTGTCTGTCAGTTGCTGCTGCTGTGTCGAGTGCTATTCAGGGATGTCGACGCCCTTGGTGAGATTGTCAACGCAGATGGTCCGTCGAGATCCCCGCAGAGGCTTGGGCAGTCCAGGGACAATTCAACATAATTTCAGTGTGTTTTGCAGACTGATAGAAGATTCTTGTATCATGGTGTTTTGACAAGTCTTACGTACCTGGGGGAAAGCCTTTGTCAGCATGTGATGTCAGAGCACAGCACTTGTGTGGAGAGGCGGGTGACTACCGACGCCTGTATGGACAGCCCTCTGGCAGGCTAGAGCACTGGAGCACTTCGCCAGCTCTTGCCTAGCGTCACATCTGTTCTGGCTCTGAATCAGGCAAAGAGGGAGAGTTCGGGATGGCCTCAGCTTCAGAAGCCAGTGACTTCGAGTCGGAGGACGCTTAAGCATCTTGACACTGAGAGCTTAGAGCCGTGAGACTCCTTGCAGGACGGTGGTGGTGAGGAAGGCACAGAGAGTCTTGTCCTTCTGGCTTTCGCTTCCAGCCTGAGTTCTCCCAAGGCTTTGTAGAAGGCCTGCAGCCAGCGCGCGAGCTCATCACGGATGCCTCGCTGGAGACTCAGCAGGGTAACAGTTGTCAGTTCAGCATACTGCTGCCACTGGCCGCTGGCCAGATTTTCTCTACTGACCCATCCGCGTCCCACCTGTCAACGCAAGCCCTTCAACGGTGCGACATGCCACTTGTTCGGATGTGAGCAAAGTAGGACAGTACCAGAAAAAGAACACCTAAGTGCTACAAGTAGGTGCAACTTTGGTGCATCTTGGCTTAAGCCTGCACAACCTGAGGCGTTTGCTTCAATGCCCGCAGGCGGGCACTGAAACTGCAAACAGACACTGTGAGGTTCCGCTGCTCCAAAAAGCATCGTGTTGCAGATTTTCTGCCTGAGAAGGCCGTGAGCCTGGGGAGAGGGCCAGCCGTCGCGAGACGGCCGCAAGGCCAGGAAAGCAGAACGGAGATCTCGACTCGACTCGGCTCTGACTCGCAGGACATCCCCGAGGCCGGCGGCGGCTGGAGCCCCTGCTGCTGCCCTGGACCCCACAGGCCGCACGGGGGCGCTGCAGGGTGTTTCTCACGGGGTTTCTGACCTGCAACCAGCGCAGAGACTCCAGGACCCAGTGCATCTGCGCTTGGCACCGGCCTCAGTGAGATCATAAGCAAAGCCCGAATACTACGCTTGTCAAGCTACTCCCACTGGACAGACTCAACCACCTTCCAGCTAAAGCTTGAAGAATTGGCTCTTCAGCTGTAGATCGCCCTGCGGATGCACAACGGCAGCAGCAGGATAGTGCTGTTCCGCACTTATGCGCTTGCATTACAACGCAAACCTAACCCCCACTAGACGCAGAGTTGTGCGTTGTTTTTGTTTCTGCGTCCCTCACGGCTTTTGCGAAGTGACAGCCCCGTTGGAGGGCTCTAGCTGCTTGCAGTCGTGATCTGTCGTGGCCCTCTTCCCCAGGAAAGAGGGAGAGAGAGAGAGAGAGAGGGAGCCCGGAGACCTGGCGAAAGAAAGAAAGAGGGCGAGGGAGAGATCGAGTTGTCTGTTGTGAACTGCCGAGTGTCGGAGGAGCTTTGCGCAAGTCAGAGAGCCATGGGCTCCAGTGTGAGTGATGGTTGTTGCAACTTCCGTTTAAGTGGTGTGAATGTGTGATGCATGTATATTTTATGCAGGTTCCATCTGAAGCCCGATTTGCTTTTGCAGCGTGTGTCTCCCTTGGCACCGGCCATAAGTGGGGGCGCACTCGCGCGAGGGGAGGGGTCGCACCCACATCCTCCAGCCCTTGCGAAAGAAAGAGATATCGAAAGGTAGTGCAGAGGTAGTGGAATGCAACGTGCTGAGGGTGAGACACTGCAGCCCGTCGGCCACTTGGGCGAGGATGGAAGGGACGATACGTTGGGTAAGGTCCGTGACCGAGGGCAGGCCTCCCTCGTGCAAGGTCACTGTTCTCGTCTTCATCACTGCGCAAGAGCAGAGTCACATTTCAGTTTCTCGCTGCGTCGCGAGGAGAAACGTTTTCGGTCATACCAGGTGATGGTGCTTGCCTCAGTGCCGGGTTCTAACGTCCAACCCTTTTCAGTCATTCTGCACGAGCGTGCCGAGACAGATGGCCAGAGAACATGTCATTGCTCGTCATTCAGCTCTCAGTGAGCAATCAGCCGCCTCTTCACACATTCATCGGCCTAACTGGTGTCATTCGTATCCAGTTGACCTGGCCGAAGTGCCACAGGTTCGCTTGATTCGCCTCTCTGAGCGACCAGATTTCCGTGGCCCAGGGTCCAGAGATGGAGCCTGGGATCCTCTGGTTCCCGAGGCAGCCCTGAGCTTTGAGACGGAGATGCAGCGGGCTGCACTTGTAAACCAGGTGCAGAATGCTCAGAGCGATTAAGTCACAGCCCTTGGTCTTCGGTGAAGGTGCCAGCCCGTGCGTCCTCTTCAAGCAAACTGTCAGAGGCAGTTTCGGCCGCTGACATCTGTTTCGGAGGCGGTGACCTGCCTTGCCTGTTCAGACAACTCCGAGCCGGACCGGCACGCCACTTCCTCCGGAGGACAGTCTGGATCTGCGCTGCCCAAACTACGGGCCATGTTGGTGGTCTCGCCTTGCCGAGCTTTCGCAATCCGAATCCAAACAATCAACCTGTTTGGATGCAACGTAACTTGACTGTGAAGCCTGAGCTCTTGGCAATGTTTTGTTCAAGCATAGGAGCTGGAGCTCCAACGCCGGTCGATTGAAGAGGTGCAGGATTGTGCAAACTTGATCTGTGCTGGCACGATCTTGTGGGACTTTGTAGATTTTGGCGTGCTGCATGAATGTGGCCTTGGCCATGCGGGGTGCATCCGCTCCTCCAAGGCTGCATCACAGGGCTCAGAACCTAGGATGCCCTGTTGCAGGTCATGCTTCCAAGGGCCCTCTCCCGGCCTTCTTCAGCATCCTCGACGGTGCAGGCGATGAGAGCAGTGCAGCTTTAGTGGCTCCTCGCAGCCGCTGCGAAGGCTGCAGGTCGCTTTGTGGGCCTGGAGGCTCGTTCTGCTAGCTCTCAAGGCCTGTCGGGAGGGGAGTTGGTGCTGTGACGTCTTGGGGCCAAACTTCGCGGATCGCCAGGCTGTCTGCTTTCGGTGAGCATGAACGCAGACGACCCGCTGGTGGGTGAGGCCGAGGCAGCTGCACGAACGAGATTGGATCATCAGGATACTCCATAGTGATGCGGTTTTGAGTGGCTGACTCTGCCAGGAGCCTGGCGCATCTGAAGCCACGCTCGCCTCCGAAGCCGAGGCGATTCGGCCTCGTGAGCAATGTGGGACCTGGGACTCAAAGTGACAGGACCATCAGGACCCGGGGATCGGACCGGCCTTGGCGGGCCCTTTGTTTTCGGGACGACCTCGGCCCCCGAGTGCGGCGAGCACCAATCGGCCCGTTTTCAGCGTCGCTTTGCCTTCGGGCGTCCCCGACGGCTGGCGCTTGGTGGCACCGATACTCGGCTGTAAAGCCCTACACAGTCTTATTCAGTGGTCTACTGTAGATGTAGCCGTGACAGCTCCTGAGAAAAACGAATTGAACCAGGCCAGAGCAGCGGGAGTCGCACACGGATCTCTCCATGCAGGTGGTCGCGGTAGTGGCGTTGCGGCCCTGTCACTGTCCTTTCAAGCAAGCACCACGGCATAATGTCCACCAACATAGCGGGAGCATCACCAGAAACGGATAATAGGAGAATTCGCCCTGCATGCGTGTTAGCATTTTGTCAGCTGCTGCATCTCGCAGCCTGGCCCGGAAGGCTTCCAGCTTTGGTGTTGGAGCATCTGCCCAGGCACAAGCCGAGGCAGGGACAGCTTGCTCCAAGTCGAAGCTGCAGTGTCCCCGCTTGAAGGAGTATCTGGATGTGCCGTTGGACGAGACGCTGCTCAGGCCACCTGGCGACGAGTGTTGCGGAGCCCGTGACCCCTGCAGCGCAGCGAGACGAGGCCGGCCACGCCCCGCTGGGTGCAGACGGTGGTGGAGCGCAACCTCTCCGCCTGCGGCAGCGCGTCGGGGCCTTGGAGCTCAGAGGCTCAGGGCGGCAAGTCCAGATCCCAGGCTCTCGGACTCCACTGAGCTCCCCGAAGTGCCGGGCCGCCAGTGAAGAAGCCATCAAGGAGGAAAGCATCGGCAGTTGCTGTTCCCCAGGCCAGACTCTGCTGCGGATCTCTCGGCCTTTGCGGTCGAGCAGTGCAGCGCTCGGCAAGGAGTGGTGACTCTTTAGCCGTTGCCGCTGTGAGCTGCGTCTCAGGTCACCAACGTTCCCAGAGAGTGCCCGAATCCATGGCTTGCATTGGTCTAAGCTGCATGAGTGTCTGAGAGGTTGTGGAGTCTCGGTGCTCTGGAGATTCCGACATTTTCAAGCTTTGCAGTGTTGCTGCTGTGATCGGGAGGTACTCCGCTGTCTTGGTCCTTGTGGGATGGGCCGCCGACAAGCGATCAGCTCTTCCCCGCACGGCCACCGCTCTCGAGCAGCACTGTGAGAGGTTCAACTGCCGCTTGCTTGGTGTGCGCTCTTTGACGTGCTGAGGATGCCATCAGCACGCCCATCCTCTCGAGGCAGGGACGATGCTTCAAAGCGCCAAAGAGGGGCCCTGGAAGCCGTTTGCAGGCGAGTCGAGAAGCGAACTGAAGGCACGAGGGCATCGATGTTGCACCGCAGAGGCCGGAAGCTTTGCGAACACACTGGGCCCGAGCATGGCTGAGCCTGCCTGGAAGGTCACAGAGACGCTGCACCTCCCAGCTATTTCTGCACAGGCAGCGGTAGCTTCTCTCTCTCTCGCTCTCTCTCTTCGCACTCTCTCTCGCGCTATCAGAACGAGCAGGCAAGTCCAGCCACCCTCGAGCGAGACGCGCCGCCGGCCGCTCGCGTTCGACGTGCAGGCCAGGTGATGGCTTCGATCTCTCACGACTTTCTCCTGTAGAACACATGCATGAAAATGAACCATCCAGATGCACAGAACCAGGACACAGCATTCGGAGGCCGCAGCGCGCTGTGCGAAATTTACCAAGCATGGGCACAGGAAACGCTCACAGACCTTTTGCAAAAGGCATCGAGCATGACGTATCATCAGCTGGAGGAAGCTCGTAAAGATCTACAGAAGCTGAGGAAGCGCGAGCAGGACAGAAGATATTACAATAAGACAGCCGAAGCACAGTCAGCTACAGCAAGTCCGATGAAGATGAGGACACCAGCAGCTGCAAATCGCAGCATGTTACGCCAAGTCCGAAGAAGAGACCATCAGCTGCAGATGACTCGCAGTCAGCTACACCAGCATGTCCGATGAGGAGATACATCAAACACATGCTGGATTAAGACACCTGAATTTGTCGGATGATGGATGCCTGACCTCCGCGACACTTGCAGGTACTGCAACACCTGAAATTGGGCAGCGTTGGCATACTGCAGGGTCGCCACAGGGTGCGGGCGCAAGTTGTGCCGCACAATGCACAAGTCCGCTCAAAAGGATGTAGGAAATTGTAGGAAATCCTCGGCATGTCCAAAAAGCAGTTCGAGAATTGCATGGAAGTGAACCTTACCATCCGCTTAACCATGAGCCCAAAATCATGTCGCAGAGCTTTTGGGAAACTTGCCTTCGACATCAAAAGATGGCTGATGATGGTTGCACCTTAAGGCCTCCGAGTGAGCCGCTCGGGCAGCCCTGGGGAGAAGAGCTGCTCGGCCTCGTTTGAACCCGGCTCCTCTCCTTTGCCAACCAGCCTATTCATGAGAGTACATTAAAAGTACATTCCATGATCTATCATGTTGAAAACTGCCATGTGCAAGATATTCGTGTCCACATACATGGAGCCTACGCAGAGATTTGGTGCCCTTTTTATACAAGTGGTTGCAAGCTTGTCTGGGTTGTCGTGCGCTACAAACAGCAGATCATTGTTGTGCAGCCGCCGCCGCATTCTTTTGGGTTACTCGGCAGAATGCCCCGGCCAGGTGACGGCAAGACTCCTGCGACTCCGGGGCAGACGTCGAGCGTACATGGTGCCCAGCTCAAGTGATAGCCAATGTGAGGCCAAGACTCGCTAGTGCTGCTACCAGGAGTAACTCTGTAGAGCTTGCAGTGCTGTAGTTTCTGAGTCTGCAGCTGGCCATGGCGGGAGGGCTTCCGCTCAGGCAGCACAGCGCGCCTCCGCAGCCGACCGCCTTCCTCGTCGCGGGCAGGCTAAGGGAGGCAGGAACTCCGGAAATCCTCGAAAGTGCAAGATCTGGGCAGGCTCTCGCTCACCCTGCAGGGCGGTGGAAAGACGAGTGCAGGTGGGCGTCGAAACCCGACACTGTTCAACCGTGAACCCATGGATGCAGACTTTCAGAGAGGTCTCTGACTACGTCCACACCGCTGCATCTGTGCAGAGGTGCACGGAGTGCACGGGTACCAACCCGCCGTGAGAGCGGTGTATTCGTGTGGCAGTCACAAGATCACTGTTAGGGCGTTATTGTCTCAGGTGCGTCACGGAAGATGCGCGGACGCGCCAGGCAGCCACCTCACTGCTAGCAGGCCAGCCAGAAGATGTGTGGCAAGTGCGCACTTTCTTGGATGCCGCAGTTGTTCACGGCCTTGCAGTATGCAATCAGACTGTCCGAGAGGCTTCAAAGAGGCCAGAGCCTGGGACCAGAGGCCCAGCTCGCAGCAGGTGGGGTAGCGACAGAGAGAGAATCATGTTTCTGCCGCAACCACTATCAGAGCTAAATCTGAAGCAGAGCAAGGGTTGGCATTGATGCTGCATATCCAAGCATATAGCCTTAATCGTATTGGCCGGTTCACATACTTCGACTTGTGCCACCTGTCATGTTCTCAAAGCTTGAGTCGCGAGAAGAATTGAGGACGAAGATTCTCAGTAATCATTTAACCTTCTGATTGAAAGTAGTTTTATTCGGTTTGATTGCTCTGACTAGCATAGTCTTGCTCTTCACCTCGACGAGCCCATCTTGTTTCGGCAGGCTGCTTCTGTGGCATCGGCTGCAACTGCCACGCAGCTGAAGCTCCTCAAGCAGCTGAAGGTTCAGATGAAAGGCCGGCATTTGGCAGGTTACAATCCTTTTCCAGACTCCACGGCACTTGAGAGGCCCACGTGTCAGAGACGGGTTCTCAGCTTTTTGCGCGCCGAGCAGATTAGGAGGACAGGCCGCCTCATTTCACGTGCAATCTATTGGAGATTACAGTCCGCGACTCCACGAGGTCCAGGCGAAGCCCTGCTCGAGAGTCAACAACATTGATGAGAGCAGCTCGCAGCCCAGTTGGAAACGAGCTTTGGTCGTGTTGGCACGGTGAGCCAACGTGCAGAGTTTGCATTCTCGTCATGGATCGTCGGAGCAAGGTGTCTCTGCCTGGCACAATATCAAGAACCTCTTGGCCGCTTGGATGAATCTCCCTCAAGCCAGCCCTGCCATTCTTTATGCTGATCGAGGCCAAAGCCGGAGCAACGGACTCCACAGTGGAGTACGGTGCGGTGCTCGCGAAGGCAGCGTCCATGAGAGCTGCTCACTGCCCAAGTGGTTGTCCTGTGCCCGTCACATAGCGACAACGTCAGCCACAGCCGCAGGGCTTCGCAGAGAAGCTGAATCCGGAGCCTCGGGAGGGAATGGTAGTTTTTTCAGGCATGCTCGGCTATGAGGACTCGAGCCACTGTTCCAGTCGCGCGAGCATGAATTTAAAGATTCAAGCTGTAGCTTCGAAAGTGTTGCCTTCATCTGAGGAGACTGGACGCTCCCTCAGTCAACCGGTCAATCCAAGTAGGCAGTCATCATGGACGCAGGCTTTCAGGCTTGCAGTGCAGCCTTGACATGATGGACTGGTGCCAGCTTTTCGCACTGTCGCTACGAGGAAGCCTGGTGCCATCTGACAAAGGACCACCATGCCGCTCAGTTCAACGTTAGCGTAGGGTCCGTTTTCTGAAGTGCACCGCTTTCTGCGGACACACCAAGTGCCCTCACAAACTCCTAAGGCAGCCTGTCTCGTCGCTCGCTCTGCTAGCCGCTCTACTAGTGGCGGCAGTGGCATCATGTGGCCTCCGGGACTTCGCGGCTCCGCAGCTGAAGCCCGCAGTCCAGCCATCCTCTTTAAGCCTTTCAGCCGTAGATCAGCCACGACCTTTCATGGGCGAAGTCCAGAAAGTGCAACCCATACAAAGGCCGAAAAATGGCCTTTGTCTGCAAATGTCAGACTTCTTGGCCACAAAGAATCGGCTTCAGGGTCTGACTGTGCCGAAGCGGAATTTAATTTGCAGAGACGGATGCCTTGTTCACCTGCGCATTCACAAACCGTCTGGCAGGATGCAGATTCTGGGGAAGCCTCAGCAGAAAAACCACAGCATCTGTTTCTCTGCAGCTTTGGCCAGTGTTAACGCAGGCGTCTCACGATGGTGAGAAGTGCCAATCGATGCTCCAGATCTGGCACAAAAAGCGCACTCCCCATGGATAGAGCGAGCCGAAGCCCCTCTCCAGTGCGGTGTCTTGCAGATCCTGCAAAACGTGCAGGCTCTTTGATCTGGACAGCTTAGTCCTGACAGCAGACGGTGGCTTCAGAAGGCCCCCAGCACCGTATTTCTCGGTGAATGCTTGGCCAATGCTTGCATCCGTAGCAGCTGGGCCTTGGTTTTTTGATTTCTGACTGCAAGGGTAGAGACTCCACGTCAACAAAACTGTGCATGGGCGAACAGGCCCGGAGAGGATCAGCCACTCTTTCCTATGGGCTCGGGGGCCCAGAGTCGGAGCAAAGTCAGAAGACTCTTTGCAATTATGGAAGGAATGATGCCGGAACACTCTGTCTTACTGTAGTTACCGAAATCCGTTGGGTTGGGGACTGAGGAGCTTGGGCTTTGCGGGGTTTCAGACACGAGAACACTGAGCTTCGACATGCGGACTTGTCCCAGACGCATCTTGACTCTCTAACTAGCTTCACTACGATTCGCCTCTTGAGGCAACTTCTCTTTGAAGTGGCGCTGGGATCCATCAGCTTCCAAGCTCATTATTGACTTCTGGAAAGGCCCGCGGCCTGCCTTCTCCCCGAGAGTCTAGAGATCTTGGAAGCGCATACGACGAACAGCTCCTATCGCGACTCCGCATGTCAGACATGAAGTTGCTCGAGTGGCGTTGGGACGAGCTGGTTCCCAGCAAGGCGGCAGGAGAGGACTGCTCGTGAATTTGGTGATGTGTCTTCGCTTGGCGAGGATCTGCGATTCCCCAGCCTGGTGGCCGACTGGTCTGGAACAGGGCATGTTGGAGGCGAGGAGGCAAACATGTCTTGGGATCGGCAGACCTTAAGATGAGAGGCAGCTCTTTCAGCTACTCCATGCTTAGCCTTGTGGCCGAGAACTTTCAGCAAGCTGAACAGGCAGCCCAAGCCTCTTGTCTGCCATGTGCCATACGAGACAAACTGCGAGCCGCAGGCAGGGAAGACTCAGCGCCTGGACTCCGAAGGCCGACCGTGTTTTGTTGAAACTCTGCGGCCTTCCTTTGCCGGCCGTCCCCTTTGAAGGGGCTTTGAATGATGGCGACAGCAAAGTACTCGTACCAGCTCTTGAGGGCTGAGCTAAGAGGGCCCCGTTTTGTAGCTGTAGGGTTTCATGCAGGCTACCGACTTTCTCAGAGCAGGACCACGGACGTCCATCTCGTGTACATGCATCTAGTGCTGGGCTGTCCAGAAAGTCGATCGCCCCGGATACAGAAAATGATGCACCAGGCGGCACTTCCCGAAGCTGTAACACTACGGATTCCCGGGATTGAACCGCTTCTCCCAATGCCTGGGCCTCGCAGCCCGAGCTTGGGCTCCCTTTTTGTTGGGAGCCTTTCTCTCCCGAGTTTTCTGCTGCAGGTTTCTTGCAGCACACAGGGGCGTCCTGCCCTTGTACAGGCGACATGGTACAGTTTGCATGGCGTTTTCCAAGAGCGCACGGTCAGAGTGCCACTTTCGAACGGAAGTGGCAATCTCCATGACTGCATCGAAAAGGTGTTGAGCCTGTGAGCAGCTTTGTGGCTTTTGATTCCGACCGTCTCGAACTCACATGAGCTGACTGGCCACAAGAGGAGGGGACATCGACCGCCCCATGGCCCACCCGCCACCGAAAAGGATGCATAATCACTTGTTGGGTATGTGGCGGCTCGGAGCTGATCCTTTCTGCATCTTCTGCTATTATCGTGACAGGGGTGACGCAAAGTGCCGTGGAGTACATGTCCACATCCATGCGTCTAGAGAGAAGGCATCAAAATCAGCACATTGGATCTCAGCTGCGTGCCACCTGTGCGACTGCCGGGAATGCACCAAAGGAGGATGAAGGCCTGCCGCCTGTGACACATCTCTACACGAGGTTGCTTGTGGTATGGAGACATGTATGGCTGTTGTTTTGTCAGGAGCGGGATTTGGCAGCTCAGCCCAAGACTGGGCTCTTGCGAGAGGCGGACCGCGTGCCATCGCCGGGTCGACAGGAGTTACTGATGCCTCTGAGGTCCTTGCTCCACTTGGCGCGCTGGCGGCGTCAGCGCCCCTGATCTGCGCACTTTAGGAAAGTGCTGTCCGTGCAGAGCGCACTGCGTGCAGCAGAGTCCAGAGGCGCTACGGCCTGCCGCCAAAAGAGGCCATGGACTTCTACAAGGCGCGAAGGCAGCGAAGGCCCAAGGCCGACGTCCCGCGGTCAAAGCTTCCGAGGACAAGCCTGGCTTGCGCTTGAGCGACCTCTTGGACGTCCCTTCGACATCCCATGGCCACGACAATGGTGCAGATGTACAAGGAAATCAGGCTCCCTCTGGTGCCATGCAGTTCTGTGCTTAACCACTTGCTCGGCTTACGCTGCAGGCCAAGATTGATCCTCGATTTGTGGCGCCGCCAGTCGGAAGCTGAGTGCAAAGGCCAGAGACGGCCAGAGATGCCATAGATGCGATGAAAGGGCACAAGGCAGGCGGCAGTTTCGACGATTTTGCGGATTTCCTGCTGAGGTAGGGACGCACGGCGGAGCCCCGATCGAGGCCGTCACGTAGAGGGACTGAGGGAATGCTCTGGAGCCCCCACAGTAGTTTAGGGAGCGACGGGTCGGTCCTGAGAGGAGCTGTTGCCGGAGCTGCACTGGCCTCGAAAATGTTCGTGCGGCGAAGGCTCATTAATTACATGTTCTGGAGTTTGCTTCGTGTGCCAAGGTGCGCACGCGCTAGCTTCCGAATTCCATCTCTTATTCAGGAGGACTTCGAAAAGGAGCGGGAGTGTGGCAGAGACTTCTTGAAATGCTCTGTCGAGCTGTCCAGGTAGTGGATGACGAGGTTGTGGAGGGGACGCAGGCCCGATCTGCACTCTGCAGTGAGGCTGCTGAGGCTCCTGCAGAGATCAGGTTAGGGACGCTTGCGTTCGAAGGCACCATACCTATGCAGCTAGGTGCCTATGGAAATTGCCGCACACGACTCTTCTGAAGAAGGCAGCGTGAGGTGCCGGAACTGTTTTCGAGAGGTGGCACCCAAGTCCGTGCAGTGCTGGCGACTGGAGTGCAAAGCCAGCTGGACCGATCAGCAGTCGAACCGGGGAACCGATAATGTATACAGCCCGATCTTTTGGGCCAATCGCAGCGGGCAGCTGCCAGGCCGGAAGCGGAGAAGAAACTTCCTGTGTCACCAAAGCCTCGCAGGACCGTAGTTGTAGTACGAGTCGTTACCACGGGCTGCCGAGTGCATCTGAGGAGCATACCAGAGAGGGCGAAAAAGCTTTCGGGTAAGGAGAATCGCCAACAGGTGGGCTGTCATGCGCTCTATGGGGTCTATCGCAGCGATTGTTGAATCCTTCTGTGTCCAGGCATCCCGGAAGATTGACCCGGAGGTGCCTTCGAAAGTCGCAACTGGCAGGTGCTGCTAAGGGCTTGGTATGCATCGGCAACATCACCTTGTAAACTCTGGAGGGGCATGGTGCCAAAGCAGATGGCTGTCAAGAAGAAAGTGTCTACGACACCGAAGTCTGAGTGCAGGAGCCTGGTAAACATATTTGTAATTCCAAACTACATCGCGAGGGTTCTGTACAAGAGCGCTACTTTAAGCCTTAACGTCGAGTTGTGCTAACCGAGAAGAACCGACTGGCGCGTGCTCCAGGAAGACACCACGAGTAGACCAGCGCAAGTGCTCCGACAAGCAGAAACGACAGCATCGGAAGGTGTGCCGGGCCGTGCTTTCAATTGAAATCTATATGCCACCAGAACATTTCAGCCGCAGGTCGACGTTGATCTGGGCTGTGGGACTCCGCCGCAGGAAACCCTGCGCCAAGTGAGATTGGTCTGCTTTTCCTGCAATCCGTTCGGACGCACCTCGGAAGGACGAAGCAAGGTATTGTCAGTTCAACATGCCGAAACAGGTCGGCAAGAATGTCTCGGAGAGACCCCTCCATTGCTTGCCTACCCGTACAGTCTCCCCTTAGAGCTGTGGGCGAACTCTTCGGCAGGTCGGAGCACTCTCAGCAGAGCAGGTCGGAATGCCGTCGGAGCTCACGATGTTCATGCAGGCGAGGACCTGACAGCATAGGGTAAAGCCGGGTCCGCGTATTCATACGAATGCCTCAGAATGCAAAAGCATCCGACAGGCAGTGGCCATGTCGAGAAGCCTTCGTGCCTGAGCAGCCGAGAATTGTGTCTTCTTCTTCCCCTTGCATTGCTGAATGCTCCCTGACAGTTCGTTCTAGTTGAAATGACTGGCGTTGGTTGCTGCCTACACATGAAAGGATTGCAGTGACAGAGCACCTTTCGATTGCATTGTTGAATTCTTGTTATCTGCCATGCGTCGGGGACCCAGGAGCGCCGAACCCCACTGCCTTCTTGAATGAGTGTTCGTATCAACATTTCCGGATGCAAAGTTCTGGGTTCCTTATCTCCGGCAGAGCATGATGGATCGGAGATGACAAGCATCTCCATCTACTGGAGGGAGTCGTGTGTCACTGAGTGACAGAAGCTCCATGTGCGAGACGCACTAGAGGAGTGCGAGAAGCCCAGGATCTTGGGGAGTCGGCGACAGACCTGTGAGCTGGTGCGGGGAAACTGAAAGCACATCGGACTCTCCTTTTGATGCGACTGCCCCGCGGTAGGTACGCTATGACTTCTGAGCCCATATCGCGCCTTTCTGCCTCGCAGGTAGACTTCATCGAGATCCAAAGTAAGTTCCGCCAAGGCAAGGAAGCACAGCCGATGCCGGGCACTAAGTTCAATAAAGCACATCCCCAGAATATCTTCCCATGAGATAAACTCGCACAAGAGCGAGGACTTTGAGAACACTGAGTAGAACAAGCAGCTAGTGTATGCAGGGCGTATGCAGTGAACTGTGCGTTGTGTGGACCATGCACATATACCGGATAGATCGTTATTTCAGAGTATTGACTTCGAAGCGACATCTCCGCTGTCTACGCTCAGGCAACATCCGGCTCAACAAGAGGATGGAGCTTTGCTGCACTGCCTGAAGGCAGTGTCGTGAATCTCTGAGCTCTACCCCGAATTCGGATTGTACATGTAGGACAAGCCTGAAGTAGCGTCAGGGGACAAGTCCAGTACTCTAAGTCTTATCCTTGAGGATTGCAGGCCCGCATCTGGAGTGCTGCAGGTTCTGGACATACTGAGCGACGCACAGTCACCGCATGACCCAGGCCTGTGAAGGGTGCAACCAGGGAACGGAGCGGTGCGGTAAACTTGGGAATGTGCCTAGTCCTGCCTTTTTCCGAAGAGGACTGGTGATGCTGATGCATTGTTGTGATGCACCTTTGCCAGAGTTTCAGTTTTGATTATTGCACCTGGCGCGAGGGGCCCCTGCTGCCTTGACATCTCAGCTGCGACTGCCGGTGGAGAGTGAGTAGATGCTCTGGAAGCACGGGTTTGCTGTACCCACGGCCGTCAAGAGCATTGCAAGCCCCAGGCCAAAGACTCATCTGGGTTCCAGCATGTTCCTGTGCATAGCATCATTTGCTGCCGCTCTCAGTGCATTTGGCTACCTAAAGCCAATAGCGCCTCTGACAGGGTCACACGTCAGTCCACTCAGCCGTCGCGGAATGAGTCTTGCATGTCTTGAATGCACCGCCGCAGTGAGCCTTTCAGGGTAAGTAGAGATTGAGGCAACCTAGCAGCAACTGCTCTGACCAATCAATATTATCTGCAAGGCCGCAAGCTGAACGCGAAAGTGCCAAAATGGTGAATCCGACGATACGTAGCACTACCCGAGCAAAATCCCGAAACGGGTGCCAGTCACATTCGATGGGATGGACTTGCCATGGCAACCATTGAACCATGAGGATTGCCGCCCTGCAGAGCACAAGGGTCTTGGGTAGAGTGTAATGTGAGATGATGTGAACTTCAGCTTCCAGTTCTCACAAGTCTGAGCCCCTTCCACAGGAGCGTGATGCGCCTCCTTGGATTCATCACTCGCGGCTGCAAACGCAGCAGGTGCCCCCTCGTCACATGGTCGTGGTTTTACGAATGGACGTGAAAGTTCCGACTCCGCGCGTCAACCTCGCAGAGCTTCACTGTGTTCTTCTGGAAGTGATCATACCAGGAGCTTTGCGCAAAGCGCTTCTTGCGCGTGGCTTCTACACCAGCGACACATGCGACTCTGTCCCTTTGGGCAATGGTGCTGCGCTGAGACTCGGGAGAAAGCTAACGGCCCTCGATTCCGACGGTGAAGCTGACTGTTCGTTGAAACGCGACATTGGGTGCAAGAAGCCCTCCCCCCCTGGATTCTTGTCGGGCACCATTAAGGCCTTGTGGAGGTCTGGTGCTGCTCTTAAAACTGGTTTAGAGTCTTTGATTGACTTGGACCCGGAAGCACTGTCCGGCACCGAGGCATCCACCCGGCCCTGGCCTGGGCTCCTCTCATTTACCTCTCTGGGCCAGTGCTGCCCCAACCTCAGCAGTGGAGGACGTGTTCCGCTCTCTTGTGGCCGTTGCCAGGATGAAGCACGGTGTGCTCCGGAAACTGCATGTTGAGCACCTGTCCGTCGTCATCCTGGCCCATCCCTGAGACACTTGGGTGCTCCATGAGCGAACTGCCTGAAACTCAATTATGAACTGACCTGCTTTACATTGCTTCACGATGGAGAGCGCTCGCTAAAAAAGAGATCTGTTTCTCACACACAAACTGTATCCAAAACAGAACCCCAAAATTGACAGTAAAGTACTAGTTCAGATTTCAAGGGACATGCGCATGCGTGTTGCGGATTCGTGGGTCACCTGATCGGCGACATCCCTTCCACCGAAGTCATGCTTCCACGTCCACAACACAGCGCTCTGTAGTCTTTGCCGAAGATACGCGGACTGACGAGCGTACAGAAAACCGCTCTCGAGACGTCACGATCGTCAAATCAAATCTTGATTTCTTTGTCGGTGATCCCTGCCCGTGAGTGGAGCAAGAACACCACGCTCAGATCAGCAAAAATGAGGCCAGCTCGGGTGCAGCGCATATACCTTGCAGATGTGTGTCAGGGATGAGCTTGCCACCGGATAAAGAAGAACAAGACCCAAGCAGAGCCAACACAGCATACGTGTATTTAATTACGTTTTCACGTGGCTTGATACATGTCTTCGCCGAGGCCCTGAACATAGTTAATGCATCGCACATGGCGGCCCTCCTCGTTTTCGAGGCAGGGTCGTGTCTGCTCTGAGACAGGCTCTATATGATTCTGCGTCCAGGGATCGCTGCTGCTTTCTTCCCCGCTCTACGCGAGCCTTGTTTTGTCATTGCCTGAGCAGCAGTTTTGATCAACCCCAGGCTTCACCCTCGAGTGTACAACTCCTAAGGAGCCGAGTGTTGCTGGGGCTCTTCACGCAGGAGGCGACATGAATCCCTTGGCCCCTTTCGTTCGCATCCCTTCCCAGAGCAGGGTTGTCAGCAGCCAGGTCCACCTGCACGTCCTCCTCAGCTCTGCAGTGACCGTCCTGGCTCTCTGCTGTTGCCTGATGGAGGTCCGGTGTCTGAAACCTGGAGTGTAATCTCGAAAGCACAAATACCGGAGCCATGCCACTGCATTTCGGGTCTGTCCCGCATGGCAGTGATTATCTGCATTCTTGTGCACCACTGAGCGCAGTTCTCGAGCCTGCTGGCCGTCACCAGCTGCTTACTGCTGGAACTCACGGCCTGGAAGCCCAGCTACTCTAAGCACTCTCCTCCCACCTTCCTGCCACCCTTCTCCCCCGATGTGTGGCGCTGGGCTGAGGCAGTTGTGATTCTTTCGGGCGGTCCCTGCAGCTACGAGGAGGTTGGGGGCCTGTGCTCGCGAGCCTTTGGGGGCTCCTTTTGAATCCTCTTGCAGGCCATCGTCCACCTGGCGCAGTGCCGGCTGCAGCATCAGCTGACGCGCTCGCAGGCTTCCTCCAGATGCGTACACCAGCCTTATGTCTTGCGTGCTCAGGGCATCAAGATTTTGATGGAGTGGTGTTCATGTTCATGATCTACTATGGTTGCACAGTCGTTGCTTGCTGCTACTGCTGGTGGTGCTGCTGGGACAGCTGCTGGTTATCTGATGCGCGTGTTCTTCCTTTGAGTTGCTGTGCCGATATCAGTTTGCAATCGGACAGTCTTCGCAAAGCAGACCGTAATGATTAATTTCGACCGCATCATTATGCTACCAACCTTGTATGAAAAGCTGTTGTAGCTATTCCCATGTTTCTTCTTCATCTGTTGAGGCTTCGCAGCGCCTAGACATTGCCAGGGAGGAGCTGAGCGGCTTGGGACCCCCAGTTGTCCGCACATTTTCGCCGCTGCCATCTGCACCACTGCATGATGCCTTCGTGTATGCAGTATACAAGCCCTGTCCAGAAGAGTTTACCATGTATGTTATATATATATATATACGTGAAAAACACATATGAAAAAGCATATATGCATATAGATATAGACATATGGTTGTGTATATGTGTATCCGTGTGTGTGTGTGTGTCGTTGTATGTGTGCGTGCGTGCGTGCATGCGTGCGTGCGTGCATGCGTGCGTGCGTGCGTCTCATTCTTACGCTGTTTTTACTTAAGGCTCTTTTCATATTATTCTGAGTATTCTCGATATTGCTCTTATTCTGATGTTACACACGTATGTATGTATGTATGTATGTATGTATGTATGCATGTGTCTGTGTATGTATTATGTATGTATGTGTATCTGTATGTAGGTATATGTATGTATGTGTGTGTATGTATGTAGGTATGTAAGTATGTAGGTATGTAGGTAGGTATGTAGGTAGGTGGGTAGGTAGGTACGCATGTGTGTATGTATGTATGTATGTATGTATGTATGTATGTATGTATTATGTATGTATGTATGCATGCATGCATGTATGTATGTATGTAGGCATGTATGTATGTGCATGTATATGCATGTATATGCATG